TAAAAATCAATTTTGTGAATCTATGACCCCAAATTCCAAACAATGAACTTGATCCTTCAACACGTAATTACAATCTCAAGCAAACTTCAGCACACTTTGAAATTGGAGTTTCAAAGTCCGAACAACAACTCAAACAAGAACAATGAAAGAATTATATTTGATTTTCTTTTTGTGATAGCTAGGGATGAACAATGAAGAACAACATTATTGATAGGAAGGTATCTTTGCCATGTTGGACTGTTTGGGTGGACTGTCATGTCAGCTCTAATGGCAAAGATAACGTTTTAAGGGTATTTGTGGTCCAAAACATAGACGGCAAGGGCAGTTTTGATCCTAAACACAATTAAAGGGTATATATGAGTCATTTCGAATAGTTCGAGGGTAATTTTGACCATTTTCCGTTAATTATATATAGAGTCAAAAATCAACTTTCAACAAACATTCTAGAAACTATCGTTTGTTTCGCTTACAAAGGTCTTAATTTAATTATTTAAATTTTAGATATTAAATTAATTATTTTTTAAGGTTTGGATAATCATTCAGATCTTAATCATTGAGGAGTCGTTTGGTAGATAAATAAGAAATAAGTTATATATGTATTAATTTATGTATAACTTATATGACGTTTGGTAGGTAAATAAGAAATAAGTTATTTATGGATAAAATTAATACAACATTTGGTTAACAATTAAGAATTTTGCACAAATAATACATATATAAATTAAATTATGAGGAAATTTATGTATTATTTTATGAAGTGTTTAATTATTCATGTACTAGTTATTAAGGCGTCTTGAGTGGATGGTTATTTATAACTTATTCATTCACAAATTTTTATGTAATATTTTATGCACGGTAGAAGGTAAAACAACAAATGACTACATAACTAACACTAACATAAAAATAATGGAGAAATGATCTAATAACACAAATATTCCTACAATATTTATTATATATATTATACACGCAATAACTCTCCCTATTGTTTGAAAAATGATAATTTATTTCACTATTTAATAATTCTATACCAAATTTCAAGTCAGATAAATACAAATTATACCAGATACATATCATATCTGATATGATTTGCATGTATCTGAATACCAGATACACAAACAGATATGAGAGTGGTGAGCAAGATAGGAGGGAGGCAAATAATATTTGTCTTGTATCTCAAATACATGTAAATCGTTATAGATACTAATTATATATATGCATCTAATATGATTCACACGTATTTAAGATACCAGATACGAGAGCGAGATGAGAGGGAAGCAAACAAGAATGTCTATGTATCTTAGATTGGGCCGTCGAGGCCACCATGATATCTATACCAAAACTAAAAGCAGGTATATATCAATACAATACATCAAACAGCTCACAAGCTTCAGCAAACCAACCACATAGGCCAGTATAACCATAACGTAGCTATACACCCCACACACTAGTCTGCAAGCCTCTAAGAGTAGTAAAGATTAGCGGGACAGGGCCCCAGCCTACCCATAAAGATATATGCAACAAAAGGTAACAAACCTTCCAACTCTGGCAGCTTCGGAGGAAAGGGGCTAGCCAACCGGATAAAAGTCAATCCTGCTGCTGAGGAGGTCTACTCAGTCGTCTGTCAGGACCTGCATGCATGAATGCAGCGCCCCCAGGCAATGGGGCGTCAGTATAAAATAATGTACAAAGTATGAAATGCAATAGTCTATAATGAGGTATCCTGATATACTGGAATAATCTGATAAATAAATCAATGATAAGATAAGTGTACTGGCCTGCTCCTAAATCTAAACTTATCAAAAATAATAAAACAACAACCTAACCAAGCCCCCATAAGCTCGGCAGGTACAAACAACACACAAGACCACCTACTCAGGCACCCATAAGCCCGGAAGGTGCCAATCAGCTTATATACCCCTACCAGTAGTCCCCTAGCCCCGTAGGCAATCACATAGCCCTCTTAGGCATTAATATAGCCCCGTAGGCAACATATAGCTCTCCTAGGCATCAACGTAGCTTATAGATAATTCATAGCCCTTTTAGGCAATAACATGACCCTGTAGGAAGCACATAGCCTTCTTAGGCGTCAATATAGCCCTGTAGGCAACTCATAGCCCTTCTAGGCACAATATAGTCCTATTAGACAACATCATAGCCCCCATAGGCAGTTCATAGCTCAACAGCTAACGAGAATAGCCCCAAGGGCAACAACAAACAATTAACTAGGCTGAAGGCGAGCAATTTAGCTATAAACAATATATATATGAATAATCTCCAAGTCGTTCTTAACTTAGGGTCTTTCTTAACAGATCGTGAGTCCCTAAAATGAGGGGTTATAACCACCCAATCAGCCAACCATTCACAAATACATCTACAAGATCACCAACGTTAACTACATCTAAGGAAACATGTCAAACGAAGGGAATAACCTTAACATACCTTTCCAATGAACGCTCGAAAGACTGTAGTTCCTTCACGAAAGTTGTTCCTTATGTCCTAAGCTTTGCAAACACTATATATACACAACTGGTACGCACCTTAGTTAACCAAGTTAAAACCTTGAAGAAATACCAATAATTACAAATTTATATCTTCAAAAACCAGCTCCAAACACAGCAAATAGAAGGGAAAAACGATTGCCACGTGTAGGGATTACGATTTTAGGCACGGGGGCAATGTTTAATGGTAGAAATAGTCAAAACTAACCTTCATTATGCTAGGACTTCATAGAAACCCTCTACTAAGCTTTCTCTCTCGTTTTAGAACTGAAATGAACTGTTTCCATGGCTAAAAACGTTAAATAGCCGACATACCATATTTATTTATCCGACCCGAATTCTGCCTTGACAGTCCCTAGTAAAACCCTCATAACTTTTTACTCGGATGTCCGTTTGATACGGGGTTTTTGTGCGTTGCAAACTAGACTCGTAGGCCTTCGATTTAATGGGTAATAGGCCTTCTAACTCTTTATATATTGGGAGAAAACATCCAATACATTTGACCCAAATTTCAAAGAAATCTTTAAAAAGGAACTTATGATAGCTTTCGCCAACTTTTATTTTGCCACTTACTTAACTTCAAAACTTGAGATAAAACCTTTGAACACTTAAAATATGACATACCACATCCTTTTTAATTTATTACTCATCCTCTTTGCCTTTCCACGAAGGTACGAGCTAATTTAGACGTTTTGGAAAAGTCGGGGTGTTACAGTACAAATTTTAAATTATCAACCAAGTATTATATTAATTTTAGGGATAAGAGTCTGAAAAATATCTCAACTTTGGTCGGATTTGCTGTTGCGATACTAAACTTTCATGAGGACCTATTACCTCTTTAAAGAAATATGACATACCACATCCTTTTTAATTTATTACTCATCCTCTTTGCCTTTCCACGAAGGTACGAGCTAATTTAGACGTTTTGGAAAAGTCGGGGTGTTACAGTACAAATTTTAAATTATCAACCAAGTATTATATTAATTTTAGGGATAAGAGTCTGAAAAATATCTCAACTTTGGTCGGATTTGCTGTTGCGATACTAAACTTTCATGAGGACCTATTACCTCCCTAGACTAATTAATACC